CCCCCCCCCCCCCCCCCCCAAGCTGGCATTTCACTCCAGCTCTGGCTTTCCCTCCCCTCTTGAATTTGGCACACTTCCCATCTGGGGACACCACAGCGCATGACGGGACGCTGTCACGGTGGCTCTCCTGGGGCAGGGGGACAGCTGAGCCGTCGCAGGTGGCAGTGGAGGGGGGGATCTGGCCCGGCCCAGGCTGCTGCCAGCCTGTGGGGGCCGCTGGGTGCAGGAGAACGGTGCAGGTGGTGGCCACCCCCCCTTTTCCCCCCTTGCCGTCCCCGCTTGCTGGGATGCCGCCCTCCCCTGGCAGCCATGCTCATCCCGTAGGCTCGTTGCAGGCTCGGTGGGGCTGATCTCTTCTCCTGGCACCCTTAGAGCAGTGAGGGGGGGCTCTGGCAAGGAGAGGCAGGAGGAAGCTGTGCTCTGAGCTGCTGCAGGGGCCGCGCGCCGCCCCGGGCTCCATCCTGACCTCCCTTCATCACATCCCTCTCCCCACGCTGCTCCCCTGCATGGTGTGGTGTGAGCACCCTGCGGTCTCGTTTTTCTCCTGCTCCCCTCTGCTCGTCTCCCTGAGCTCCTCTCATAGCTCCTTGCTTCTCCTGGGGGGTGGGCGCAGCCCCCCAGCCCACTCCTGGCCGAGGGTGGGGGGAGGCCTTCGGTGCCGCTCGCTGTGTCCGTGTGCCTGCCGCGTGCTCCTGGCCCTGCTAGGCCTGGGAAATAGCTAACAGCAGCCTGTTTTTTGTTTTTTGTTTTTCTCTCTTCCCTCTAGCTGACCAAGCTGCACCAGTTGGCAATGCAACAGTCACACTTTCCAATGTCTCATGGCAACACTGGATTCAGTGGTATGGAAACTCCTTCTCTCCTCTGTACGCTAACGTGGGCCGAAGGCCGACCTGGGAGCCGGGCTCCCCTCTAAGCAGGGCCTCTGCACGGGGTCTTGTGTGCTCAAAACAAACAAACAAACAACCAGCAAAACACAACACCAAACAACCCTAAAAACCCACAGCATGAATGATGAAGTCTGGCCAGGTAACCAAACTCTGTCGCGCCGCCTCTGGGGGCAACTGTGGTCTCTGCACCCCCTCCCCGCCGAGGGCAGATCAGTGAGCAGGCAGGGCCTCCGTGCTGCTTTCCTCCCTCCCACCCTGTCCTTCATGGCTCTGGGGACCCCCCTGGCCTGCAGCACCTGCTCTCCCCCTTCTGGCTGCTCCAGCCCTGAGCAGGCAGCTGCTGAGTTGCACCAAATTTGCTGTAGCGTTTGCTAAGGTGGCTGCGTTTCCACATGGGGCTCTAAACGTGAGACAGCCAAACTCATTGTCGCTTGTGTCTTAACAGGCATTGAATCCAGCTCTCCAGAGGTGAAAGGCTATTGGGGTAATGATTGAAACACAAAATCTGTAGTTTATTGTGTATTAATACTGACCGGGGTCTCGTTCTCCCTGTTAAA